CAGGAGCAGGAGGGATGGAAAGGAAGAAGGATGTGTGTGTGTGTGTGTGTGAGATGGGGATTAAGAGTGGAAAAGGAAGTGGGGGAAAAAAGGGTTTGAGAAGAAAGAAACGCGAGGAGGAGGAGGGGAAAGAGCAGGGAAGGGAAAGAAGCAAAGGGAAGAGAAGGAACTGGGAACAAAAAAATTGTGCAGAGCTGAAAACTGAATGAAATAGACAGCTGAGCCTCTTCTTGCTCACAGCAAATCATTAATAAAACGCTTCCCATGCCCAGCCCTCCACCCTTAAATAACTTCAATAAGCCTGCACAAAGGGCTGCTCACTCCCTGGGCACTGTGGAACCACGAGCTGTACCTGGGGACAGGGCAGCAGCAGGACAGTCCCCAGGGGGACAGAGGCACAGTTTAACCCTGGGACCTCCCCACCCAGCTCCTTCACCTGCACTGAAGAGGCCAAAAACCACCAGGAGCTATCAGGGATGCTGAGCCCTGCCCGAGCTGGCCTGGATGATCTCAGAGGTCTTTTCCAACCTCATCTGAACTCCAACCACAGGGCCCTGACCTGCCTCAGCTCCTTCTCTGCCAGCAGGGGCAAAGCCAAGAGTAAAACCTGAGCACTCACCAGCGAAATCCCTGCACTGACCTGTGCTGGCACAGCCAAGGGAAACGCTTCCACGCTGCCTTTTCCCACCTTCCCCTCACTTCCCAAGACCTCTGCTGGTATTACAAAAGGATCCGGGTTACATCCCACTCCTGCAAGGCTCAGGAGGTGTAAAAACAAACTTAGAGAGAGCCCAGAGAGGGGGCAGTGCTCCAGCTCCCAGCCCAGGGCATGCAGAGCAGGGACAGAGCCTCGACCCTCACGCTGCCAAGGTAAACAATTGTCCTTCACGGCAAAACAGTCAACAACAGGGCCTGGCCTTGCAGCTCCTGGATGCCCATTTGGTGCTGATTTTCTGCTCAATTTAAGGCAGCAGTCCAATAAAGGCTGGTGCTTTTTTTGCCTGTTGTTTGGCTTAGTTAAATGAAAACACGTCTGCGGCCCAGCTCATTATCCCGCGCCCTCAGAGCAGCCCTGAGCTGGGATCCTGTCTCCAACCATTAGCAGCGACATCCCTGATCCCAATTCCTTTTCATCCCCAATATTAACTCCTCCTTAGCATATGAAAGCTCCGGCTCTCGGTGCAAAGGCAAACGAGGTCACTGCAAGGCCTCTGCGGTGGCCTCGGCAGGGACACAGGGCCCAGGGGTTGTGCAGTCAGCTGCGCACCCACACTGCGAATAAAAACCCTAAATTCCCACATTTTCATCTCTTTACAGCCCCAAAAATCCCCCCTTCTCCCTTGCTCAGTCAACTGGGCACCACGTGGAAAGGTGGGCCAAGAGGGTGAGCCCAGAACAAATCCCCTCACAGGGACAGAGAACAAATCCCCTCACAGGGGCAGAGAACAGATCCCCTCACAGGGACACAGAAAAAAACCCCCCACATGGACACAGAAAAAAAACCCCTCACAGGGACACAGAAAAAACCCTTCACAGGGACACAGCTCAGCTCTGGGCTGTTTTTGAGACCTGGGGGTGAGCTCTGCTCCTCCAGGGCTGCAAAAGCACCAGGAACACAGGGCCCCTAAGGGAGCAGGGGACACAGGTGCCACACTGTCCCCAGCACGTGGCATTCCCACAGGAACCACACATTCCTGCTCCCACGGGGCCAAGGCTCTCAGGGTTTGTCATTCCCATCCCACTGACCAAAAAAAAAAACCCTGGAAAAGCCTCTCTGGCAGCTCTGCCCCACAGAAAACTGCCCTGCTGCTGCTGCCTCCCCCAGCACAGCCAGGGCAGCCTCAGCCCCAGGTGTTTAATGCAGAAATACAGTGAATTTCTCCCTGCCTGGGGCAGGAGCTGAGGCTCTGTGTCCCCTGTGTGCCCTCTCAGAACATCTCCAGCCACCACACCAAGCCCCTGAGGCATGAGGGGCAGAAGGAAGAGAGGGAAGAGCTACCCACCTTCCTCTAGCATGAGGGAGCCTGAATCCTCCACTTCTATCCATGCAAATAGTCCTAGTGCAACTGGAAACCCATGAAATCTGGCACTGCAGAACAGAGGGTGTTTGAGGAGAGAAAGAGGAGAAATTAACAGGATTTTTTTGCAGGACAGGAATGAATTAAGAGCCTCGGGACCAGGTGGAAAATGCTGGCTCAGGCTCCACAGCAATGTGCAAAGCACAGCAGCACGGGGGAGGCACTTGGAGACCCTCTGAGGCTGCTCCCAGGGAAGCACAGACCCCACTCCATGAACCTTTCCTCTCTTCCTTCCCTTCCATCCCCAGCTGCAGCTCAGTTAGCACCAAGGAGAGCACTCCCCGCTGCAGAAGGGACAGCAGGGAACCACCTGCAGGGTCAGCGGAGGAGAGAGCAGCCCTGGTTTGTAGGGAAACTGCTCTGGGGGCTTGGGGAATCACCAAAGCTGCTTTTCCTCCCTGCTCCTGTGCAGCATGGCAGTGCCAAGGGCTGGCTCAGGGAGCCAACCTCACCCCCAGCCCCAGGCAGCTCTGCCCTGAGCCCTTTGCCACCTTCCTGATGTCAGAAAAGCCCCAGAACCACACACAATTATTTTTCACTCGTTTCAGCCCCTTTCTGCATTTCAAAGACCGTTCCAGACCCAGTGATATTGCTGATTTTCCAGCCCAGGCTGTTTGAAACTACAGCACTGCCTCTAATCCTGGTTGTAAGAACAAGCAAAGGGATTCCCTCCCAGAATTAATCACAAACCAGCCAACCCTGCCAGCCTCAGCCTTTTTGCTGCCCCCACGGGCTGGCAATCAGCAAATCTCTGCCATTTGTGCTGTCCTTGCTCCCAATCCTGCCCTGAAGCAGAGGCAGGGAGGAGCAGGCACCGCTGTGCCCTGCTCCAGCAGCACTCTGAGCTCCATGGGGAGCACAGCAGCCTCCAGAGAGCTCCTCCTGCCCTCCCTGGGACCAAAGCCCACCCAGAAACCAGCACCAGAACATTTCAGAGCAGATGCTGGCAGCCTGGGAGAGCCCCGGCAGCTCCCAGCCAGGAGAGATGCAGGACTTCTTGAACCCAATGGCCCCAGCATCATTTATTGAGCATTGTTTATCTCCAGGTTCTTTTAGAAGGGGGAGATTCTCACAGCCCAACACACAGGGCTGAGGGCAAAGTTCCTCTGCCCTTCTTGTTGGAACAAAATGGTTTCAACAACAACAACAACCAGTCCTTCAGTCCGAGCCAGCACCACCTCTGAAAATTCTCTAACAAGTCATGATCAGCCAGCTCCCCTCCCAGCAAAACCAGCCCCAAAATCCAGAGTGGAGCTGGCCCTGGGGACAGGTGACAAAGCCCCTGTCCCCTCAGACACCTCCTGTGCCCACCTGAAACAGCCCAAACCTGTCCTTGAGAGCTTTGTCACTGCCCTGGTGGCCTCCTGTGTGCCTGAGCCTCTTCCACTCTTGAATATTTCACGGGATCAGTGAGGTTGGAAAAGACCTCCAGGAGCAGCCAGGCCAAGCATTAACCCAGCACCACCAGCACATGTCCCCAGTGTGACCTGAACACCTCCAGGGTGACCCCACCACTGCCCTGGGCAGCCTCTTCCAAAGCTTCCCCCAAGAAATTGCTCCTAATATTGATAACATTGTTCCTAATAATTGCTCCTAATACTGTGCCTCTCCTGGCACAACTTGAGGCCATTTCTTAATCTAAGGAACAAACCAGAGCACCTCAAACACCAATTAAGAGGAATCAGAGCTCCTAGACCTCATCTTTTCTCCTGGTGGGAATGAGAAGAACCCTTTGCATTTCTGGAATGCCACAGGTCTCAGAGAATTCCAGCAATGCTGATCAAGCCCAGCAGTTTCTCTGCAAAGCAAACAACACTGAAACCCATTCTGACATCCAGGGTCAGCTGAGCCACACCGACTCCAGCAGGGTCACAGGGAAAAATGGATTTATGGCCAGCTTGGCTTTTGGAGCTGTGCAGGGAAAGGGGCTTTGGGAAATTGTTAATGATGAGATTGGAGATTCAGCTGTGAAAGCAAAGTCTGGGAGCTGCCATGGCTGATTTACACACACACACACACCACAAATCCCTCCTGAATCCATCCTGAAGATGTGATTTAAGTTTTCACCCCCCAAAGACATTCCCAAAGGGTGTCAGGTGTGGGGTCCCTCTGGATTTGGGGTTCACTCACACTCAGCAGAATGACTGACACAATACACAAACAGCTCCACAACCAGACAGGTTTTCTGAAAAGGCCTAAAACAGCACACAGAGAGATCCAGCTCTGATTTGGAAGGGCAGGGTATAAAACTGTATAAAGCAGTATAAAAACTGACAGAAACCCCAGTTTTTCCTCAGCTTTCACTTCTAGTTGAAGGATGCTGCACTCAACAAGCAGATCTTGGTTTATTTACCCCAGACTCTCACTTGCTGACTTCTGCACGTTTGCCACCAGCCCAAATTTCCCCACACCCCCTCCCTGACACCCAGGGCAGGATCCTCAGGAGCACTTCTGGTTCCACACTGGGTGCAGCTGAAACCAGGGGAACAACCCAAAACCTGCCAGGCAGCCCCAGAAACCCAACCAATGCTGCTCCCAGAGGAGCTGGCAGGCCCGGCAGCAGCGTGGGGAACCTCAGATTAATGAAATTACAAATCCAATCATGCTCTGAGCAAGGCCTTTCTGCTTCACTTGCCACCAGCCCTGGGGACACTGCAGCCCCGTGCTGCCACAAGCTCCTTTAGCACCGGCTCTGACAACAACACAAGGCTGAGATCAAAGCCCAAAAAACCTCCAAAAGGGCTTCACCACCACCAGGAAACCCTTCCCACCTCCACCTTCAGCCACAACACCACGAGGTTTCCTACAGCTGAAGGACAGCACGCAAAAAAACCAACAGGACAACGGGGGCGAGAGGGACGGGAGGGGAAGGAGGGGAGGGAAAACACGAGGCCAGGGCAGCAGGAGGTGCCCAGCCCTCACCTGCTGCTGCCAGCCCCACGTCCAGGGGGTTCCTCTTGAACTCACAGCGGCTCTGGCTCTCTGGCATAACGAGCTGACGGCTCTGGTGCAGGTTGGAGATGATGGTGGACAGGTCGCTGTCGCGGCTGCGGCAGAGCACAGACACCCCACGTTAAGGAAATCCCACCTGCACACACCCCCCCGCCAAAATTTAATTTCCCCCCAGTCTGAGCACATCTGGGAGAGGGTTTTGTGTGCTCCAGCATTGCTGGATGGCAGCAGAGCTCTCCCCCCTCTCCCTCCCTCCCTCGGGTGCCTCCGTAACCTCTCCTGGGTTTTGGGGATTTCAAAGCCCTTCCCCAGCTCCCCTCTCATTTCCCATCAAGGGCCCTGCAGCTGCCAGAGCTGCTGATCCCAGCCCTGCCAGATATAACTTGCGTGGGCCAGGACTCACATCTCGCATGGAAAAACTGAAAGAGGAGGAATTGGCAGAGCTGCTCCAGCGTGAATAGGAAAGTTGAACTGAAATAACTGATAGTTTTCTATCAGCTGCCACCCTTCTATTCTTAAAAACCTAAGTTTTTCCATTCCATCAGTGCTGGGACAAAAGGCTGCTTGATTTGATTGAATAATGGTTTTTCTCCTCAGAGAGAAACCCACCAGGAGCCCGGACAGCAGCGTTACTCAGAGCTGAGGGGACAGATTTATTTACAAAACCCATTTTCAACTCCCCCTCCAACAGATCCTGAAACAATGCTCTTCCTTCTGGGAAAAGAGACTGTGTTAGAGCAATTCAGCATTATTTTGCCTGTTCTCCTTGCATCACACTGCTGCTAACTAGGCTGGGTTAGTCCATTTTTTTCTGGGTTTTTTTCCTTCTGTGGAGAGGATGAACACAAAAATTCACTGTAGCAGATACTGCAGCTCAGTGGCGAATGATTTTGCTGGCAAACCACTCTCCAGCTGCAAAATATTCCTGAGTAAATGATCTACAAGGAGTGAGGAGGAAGAACAAGGTGGAACCCGTGGCAGGAGCTGCTGGGGCTGGAACATCTTTTTTTTTGTTCGCTTGCAGGAGATGCTGAGCTCCCCCTCCTCCCAGCACCGGGGCTCACCCCCACCTAAACGGGGCAACTTTTCCTCCTGCCCTCTCTCTGAAGGGAAGATGCCAGCCAGGAGATCTGGAGACATTTGGCAAAAACGACAGAAATGAGGAATACTGCCCTCCCTGCCCAGCCACAGCTCCCTCCCGTGCCAGCAGCGCTCCCACCCAGGGGTGTCCTCACCTGGGCCCGGCAGGGCAGCCCGGAGGGTGCATTATCTGCACAATTACCCAGCACTGATCTGCCTTAAATATCCCCCCGGTGCTGCTGCCCTGGCCCCGAGCAGAGCCCGGCGCTCCCAGCCCAGGCTGGGGGCTGCAGCAGGGGCTAATCCGTGTCTAGCTCGCTGCTAATCAGATCAGTTCAGGACAGAAAGTCTTTAGGGACTTTCAGCGGGCGTCTGGCTGCAGATTTCCACGGGAGGCTGCAGACACAAACAGCCCCGTGACTGCCCATCCCTCGGGGGGATCAGCAGGAGAAGGGATGCTCGGATCCCAAATCCCCTGAGCATCCCTCCCCAAAGCAGTTCAGAGTGCTCCTTATGCAAGCACGAGGCTCATTACTTAAGCAAGCCCACAGGTGAGTGGGAAGCCCATTTCTCCTGTGCCAAGCAGTTTTGGGTCTTATCCTCTTTTAGCTGCCACCTTTAAGATGCATTATGCAAATATTTTGGTGTCTTAAGTCATTTATGGGATTAATGTGAAGTGATTATCAGTTCTTTTTAATCATGCCAATCAATAAGTGGCTGTCAGGGACAGAGGACAAATGCAGATAAACGCTGCCATCAGCACAAGGCCCGGAAAGGGCGGAGGAGAGGAGCCAGGAGAGCAGGGAGTGGGAAGAGAAAAATGGGATAATTACATCTTTGCATTTGCACGCTGCCTCGCATCCCAGCGGAGCCCCGAGCAGCGCTGGGGTGTAAACACGTTCAGCTGCTGGGAGGGATTGTTTTATCCACCAGGAAAATGCAAACCCCTCTGTCTGGAGAGGCTCCTCAAAAACCAGAGAGGGCAGAACACTGGGATAGATCCAGGGAAAACAGAACCCAGGAGAGGGAATCATCCAGCACCAGAAGTGGCACTCCCCTTCCCCCAAAACCTCCTGCTTTCAGGACATTTCCTACAGGTTTAAAATAAACCTGTCTGTCTGGAGAGGCTCCTCAAAAACCAGAGAGGGCAGAATACCGGGACAGATCCAGGGAAAACAGGAGAGGGAATCACCCAGCACCAGCAGTGGTGCTCTCCTTCCCCCAAAACCTCCTGCTTTCAGGACATTTCCTCTGGGTTTAAAATAAAACCATCAGCAAATCCACGCTCAGGGAGCCACAGGCACACTCCTGCCTCAGTTTACCCACGGAGCCAGGCAGAACCCAGTCCCCATTCCCCACCCCAGCCCCTTCTGAGCCAGCACACTGGGATGCAGTGACCTCAGGAGGGATGAGCCGAGCAGGGCAGCCCCCTTCGGCTGCAGGCCACAGCGGCACAGAGGTGCTGACAGATGTCCCCAAGGGTCACACGCCACCAGGCAGAGCCAGACTGGGAGCAACGCCCTCCAAATGTGTCTCATTTCCAGCCATTAGCAGCGAGTGCCTGTCTGAGGAGGAGAGGGATGAGCAGACTAATGGCTGGAGACAATTAACCAAAATATCAATCAGTGTCAGGGCTGCGCAGAGCCCGGGCAGCCAGGCGCCCGCAGGCCCTGCTGGCTCTGCCCAGACTGCAGAGGGGCCAAAATGGGAATAATTCCCATCAGCGGCTGCCTTTTCCCTTCCTGCAGAGGAGGGGAGGAGCAGGGGCTCGCCCCCAGTGTGGCTGATGCTTGGTGGGAAGACACACGGATCTTGACTCCACGTTTCAGAACGTTGATTTATCATATCATGACATATATTATATTAAAATGCTATACCAAAATTATACTAAAAGAATAGAGAGAAAAGGATTCATCAGAAGGCTAGAAAGGACAGGAGAGGGATGAAGAACAAAGACTTGTGACTCTCAGAGCCCGAGCCAGCTGCATCTGCGATTGGCCATTAATTAGAAACAACCAACCTGCACCAACCACAGCTGCACCTGTTGCATTCCACAGCAGCACAGAGTTCTTGTTTACATTTCCTTCCTGAAGCTTCTCAGCTAAAATAGGAGAAAAATCCTAGCAAAGGATTTTTCATAAAATACCACGGCTACATGCAGTGCCCCATCCTCCTCACGGGGTGAGGCTGAAGGAGCCTGGCAGGGATGTGTGCCCTGCTGGCACAGCCAGCCTGGCTCTGCCCTGCCTCCAGGGTCACCCCAGAGAGCTGCCAGGCAGGAGAGGTGCAGGACCATGCAGAGGGGGAGTTCCACCCAGCTGCAGCTCCCACAGGGCTGCTCCATGAGAGGTGTTGGTGTAAATGTGCTGTTCTGCTCCAGACCTCGTAGGATGGCAGCTCTGGGCTCTGCTCCCTGGGTGAAACACGGGATTTAAGGGTTAATAAATAGGGAATTGAGGAGTGTGAGGAGTTGGTGTCAATGTGGAGCTCAGGCTCTCGTTTTTCTGCCCCAGACCTGGCTGGGCTGGCAGCTCTGGGCTCTGCTCCCTGTGGAAAAAAGGGATTTAAGGGTTAATAAATAGGAAATTGAGGAGCAGGAACAAAACTGCACAGATCCAGAAACTGCAAGAGAGCTGAGGGAGGGGGGAACGGGTCCAGGACTGGGGAACTTTTCCTAATTCTCCATCAAATCAAAGGAAAGCTGGGAAAACACAGTCAAAAATCTCTGAAGGAATGCAAAGCAGGAGACTGGAAGAGAAGAGAGACTCAGAAAGCAAAAATAGGGAAGAAATAAAAAAAAAAAAAAGGAAAATGGAAAAATATTTCTTTTAAAACACATTTCACAAATCAGGAGGAAATAAAAAAATGGAAAAAATATTTCTTCTAAAACACATTTCACCAGCTCTCCATCCCCTCAACGACCACGCAGTAAGTGCAGGGATTATATTAAATTTTACTGATCAATACAGCAGCCATAAAACTGCCCCGACCCTCTGCCCCTCCCTCCAATAAAGGAAGGAAAAATCCGATGTGCACAGGGAGGAATGGCAGAGCTGCAGGGAGGAGACACGAGGGCAGTGGCCAGGCCAGGGCTGCTCCAAGGCTGTCTCAGAGGTTCCCTCTGCACTGATTCCCCTCCCTGAGGCACCAGCAGTGGCAGAGAACCCCAAGGAGATGAGGAAACCCCCAGAAGCTGCAGAAACACAGGGGGTTTTCCTCTGCTGGTTTTCCTCTGCTGGTCTCAGCAGCACAAAAAGCCAAGTTTGTGCTGGCAGGAGCTGCTGGAGGAAACGACCTCGAGCTGCTCCAGATGGGGTCTCAGGGAACATCTCCCTCCCAAAATAAGGGAATAAAGCCCGGCCAGGCTGCCCAGGGCAGAGTGCCCAGCCCTGCAGGGCTCAGGAGCCTTGGGGAGGTGGCCTTGGGGACGTGGGGCACTGTCACCCTGATTTTTTAAGATGTTCTAAGCCTTCTGATGTTTACGTTCCTGTAAGGAACTTTCTCACACCTTTTCTGTAAATAACTCATTGTTTTACATTATTTTATGGAGGAAGAGAAACTTGATGGACTCTTGGTTGGCCCAGTGTCACTGGAGAGGTGGCACTGTCACCCTCCAACCCACTGCCACCTTTGGAAATCTATGAATGTTAAAATAAAAAGTAAACTTTCCCTTTTATCTTGCGAACAGCAGCGTGTTCACGGGGTGGTTTTGAGTGTCTGACAGTGACAGGGCACTGCTGGCCCTGGAGGGCTTTTCCAGCCTGGGGGAGCCAGGGTTTGAGCAGCAGTTTGTGCCCCAGGGAGGGATGGAAATCAGGCAGGAACTGGGGAGGGAATAATGAGTTTTTTATGGAAGCCATTAGAGGAGAAGCCAGACTGGTCCTTAAACGCTGCTGCATCACTGCAGCCCTGAGGAACACCCTGGTGTAAGAGCACAGCTGGGGGGTGGCAGGGCTGGTCCAGCCCAGGCTCTCAAGGGGGCTCAGATTTTCTAGTTAGCATTTTTAAAAAATCC